TCTAAACCAGCCACAGAGCAGATTCCCATTTCTGTTACTCTTCTGCATGTGAGAATTTTACTGCATGCTCAGGCTTAACATGACTTCAGTCTTTGAGAACACGGTGAGAAAGAGCAGACAGGCACTTCGCAGTAATTAATCTTATCAGAGTCAGTCTATTCAACATTTCTTAATTATAAACCTGGATAATTAATTGCCACTGACACTTTATTTATTCATTGGTATTTTTCTTCATAGATCCGTTCTCTTTTTTATTATGGAAGACAGCAGAGTGACTGTGTAGGAAGACTTTAGAAAGCAAGCAAGTATGAAAAAATATCATTCCCCTGTTCTACAAGTAATAAGTAGCTGTGATACATAAACAATTTATATTTAATTTTGTATACTGCTTTTAGAAATCGCTATTATATCAGTTATTTTAGAAGCATGCTCCCTCCTTATTCCATTCGCAAGCCACCAGCTGCAAGCTGCAGCCATACAAACACTTCCTGAGTGATGAAAATCAAGATGAAGGAAAACATACTCAAGTACCCGACAGCCTATTCTAAGATGGGAAAATAAACGTGAAAATGAAAAAGCTATATCAGAAAGTTTGCATCGGATAGTTTTCTGATCCCTGTTTTGAGCAGAAACACTGTAACTGGGCAGCCACTTTATCACATGAGGCAGCAGAAGGGCCTCCAAAACTCAGATGCGCAGAATACATTACCCGAATAGCTTACGACAGGATCTGTGACGATCTCACAGGGGACACAATACCCCGCACCACTTCTTTTTACCTGCTTTGCGTTCTCGATGTAGGCAGCCATGTACTCGTAGGCGGCCGCCTGGGCATTGACGCGGGTCTCCGTGCCCTCCACGGGCAGGGCGAAGCTGTCCATGATGATCATGGTTTCCCCGTCCACCTTGCCCAGCATGAGCCCCATCACCTCCAGGTTGCCGCCCGACCTGGCGTGCATCACCATCTTGAGCAGTGCCAGCGCCGAGATCTTGCAGTACTTGAAGTAATGGTGGCTGCAAGAGAGAGGCCGCAGAGGCGCTCAGGGCCGTGCTGGGGCCGGGACCGACCCCCGTCTCGCCCCGGGCCCCGGGCCCTCGCCGCCCGCCCCACGGCCCAGCCCGGCCCGGCCCGGCCCCGCTCTCACTCTTTGGTCCAGGGCTTGGCCGC